ACAACTACCGGTATAGGTGTGACATGGACATTAAACATGATCTTAGTTTTGTCCATGTTCATCTTAAGACCTATCCGTTGGGAAACACTATTGAGGTCATTGAGCATAGTGCTTAGGTCCTCCAGCGATTCTGCCATAAGGACTATATCGTCGGCAAATCGAAGGTGAGTGATGTACTCGCCATTGATGTTGATACCGCATCCTTTCCAGTCCAGAAGCTTGAAAACATCTTCCAATGCAGCGGTGAAGAGTTTCGGGGATATGACGTCACCCTGTTTTACACCTCTCTGTAATTGGATAGGTTTCGTACTCTGGTTCTGTACTCGGATAGCCATCGTAGCCCTACTGTACAAGCACTTCAACACTTCGATATACCGACAGTCAACTTGGCACCGCTGAAGGGACTGCAGCACCGCCCAAATTTCGACGGAATCAAAGGCTTTCTCATAGTCCACATACGCCAGACATAGTGGCAAATTGTACTCTTCGGACTTCTGTACAATTTGCCGAAGGGTATGTATGTGGTCTATGGTGCTAAAGCCCTTTCGGAAACCGGCTTGTTCGGAAGGCTGGAAGTCGTCAAGTCTGCGCGCGAGTCGATTCGTAATGACTCTCGAAAACAGCACGTAGACGCGGCTCAGAAGGGAAATCGGTCTGTAGTTCTTCAAGAGAGCGTTGTCACCTTTCTTGAAGAACAAGACCACCGTACTTCTGCTCCACGCCTCCGGTGTAATGCCACCATGGAGGACGGAATTAAAGAGCTTCTGAAGGACTTCAAGTACCGGTTTTCCACCCGCTTTCAGAAGCTCCGCTGTAATTTCATCCTCGCCTGGGGCCTTACCGTTTTTAAGTTGCTGGAGAGCCATTCTAATCTCGCTCAGACTGACGTCCGGGATATCTTCGGAATAGTGTCGGATGAGACACGCTCTTGGATCGTTACTCACACTTGCGTGTGGCTCCAACGATGACGCGTACAGCTGCCCATAGAACCTCTCAATCTCACTCAAAATCTCAGGTGTCCCGGAAACGATGCTGCCACATTCTGTCTTCAGCTTTGACAGTTGGCTCTTTCTGGCAGACAGATCTCTGGCAGAAACTTTGGAGCCTTGGTTCCGCTCGATCGCTTCTTCAATACGAGCTGTATTGAAGTTGCGTAAGTCCCGCCGCATGCATTTGGAGATCTGTCTGTTCAGATGCCTGTATGCTGTCAAGTCTGTTGAAGAATGTAGCTTCATCTCCCGTCTAACAGCCATGAGATTAAGAGTGTGATCGGAGAGTTTTTGTGTTCTTCTGCGGCGGGTCTTGCAGAACTTAGTTCCGACCGCATGGACAGTTTCCACGAGCTTGTCATTCATATCGTCCACTTCATTGCAGTCTTCTAGGCACTGAAAACGGTTTTGTAACTCGAGCTGAAAGGTTTCGGGACTTTGGATTAGAGCACGAGGGGGACGGAGCGTTGACTTCATTAGACGAGACCTCTCCAACTTAACGTTTAGGTTCAGTGTGTCTCTAACCATTCGGTGATCGCTACCAGTTTTCACCCTCGCGATCACGGAGACATCACTGAACAGTTGTCGTCTGGTCGTCATAATGAAGTCAATCTCATTTTTTGTCGAACCGTCGGGGCTCGACCAGGTCCACTTCCTGTGGGGCCGCTTCTGGAAGAAAGAGTTCATCATAAAGAGTCCCTCTTTCTCCATGAAGTCGGCCAGCTGCTGGCCCCTTGGGTTCCGTTGCCCTATTCCAAATTTCCCCACTTTCAGCTCACCGTTCTCTGTTGTGCCTAGTTTTGCATTAAAGTCTCCCATTAACACCGTATATTGGGTTTTGGAGGAATGCATGGCTCTAGAGATATCCTCATACATTTCCTCCACCTCCTCATCGGGGTGTGCCGAGGTTGGTGCGTAAACCTGTATGACCTTCAGCGAATACCGTTTGGTGATTCTGAGTATAAGGTACGCAACCCTCGTCGACACACTCCCGATCTTTACAACATTGTTAACGTGAGACTTGTGGACGATAAATCCGACACCTCCTTGGGACAGATGGTCGCCCTCCCGGTGATAGAGCAAGTTGCCGGATTCGAGGATTACCGTGTCCTCCCCCTCTCTTCGGACTTCGGATAATCCTATAATATGCCAGCGCAACTTGTCTATCTCTTCTTCCAGCTCCACGATCTTCTCGTCAGTCCTCAGGGTGCGCGCGTTGTACGTTGCCAGGTCGAGTCGTCTAAGGTGGCAACCGAACCTCCACCGGAGATTCTTAGCACCCCCTGCCCCGCCGTTACCATGGTCGCCACCGTAGCCAGGAATAGCGGGGCCGCCGGGGACTGGGGGCCGTTTCTTTGTTACTGTCATTCATAGGGGGGTATTTGCCATAGTTGCCACGCTTGGCGAGCGGGTTGGCAACCGCAGTTTTTTTTTATTGTTAGTTTGTTGTTATCAAGAAGATGCTGCTGCCCATCTCCTGCCTGTTTCCCTTTGTCGCCTTTTACGACACCCACGGGAGGATATGGGGTAGTGGATATTCTTGACCGCCACTACACGGGATATGTAGTGGCGGTTCAAAAATATGTTCAAGTCAAATTTCGAAAAGATTTACAACTACTCGTAGACTGCAAAACCAGGTGGAGCAGTCTGTCAATTATGCTGGAACGATTTTTTATGCATACAGAGGGCATTGATGGATATGAAATCTGGTATTAAATTCTCAGATATAGAAATGTTATGTCTATAAAATTTGCAAATTTGTTTGGACACGATCAATACTACTGTGGAAGTACTCTGCCGCAGAGATGCTACCATTCTAACGGCGGATACAGGTCTTAAATTTTTGATATAATCATTAGACAACCAAGACATGATGTCTACCAGGCAACTGGCAATTTCATTGCAACGGAGGATTAAAGAGAGGCGACTCTATAATGTTGTCGGCGCCTTACAATACTTACACAACCCTAATCAATTTTTAAATAAGACTGAGGAAGACTAAGATATATTTAAAAAAAACCTACGTATGAAGAAATTAAAAATGTGTTCTATCAAGCTGCATCCCTGGGTATTGACAATTGCACGACCACGTCGACTTATACGATCTCTACTTCAGAAACTGTGCGATAGTTTTGATCCATCGCTGCTCAGTTTTAAAGAAAAGCTCAATCGTCAACTTTCTCTGACAAATGTGGGTAGTGATCAACACCAGTCAACGAGTGTAATCAGCGCAACTGATTTGCCTTCAATGATTCACGTTGAAATGACTTTATTCGAAAACGGTGGAGATCGTGGAGAAATCCTAAAAAAAGTTCTGAACAGGTTGCTTTCCATACCGCCGACCAGTGTTGAGTCTGAGAGAGCTTTTTCCACAGCTGGCATATTCTGTAATAAAATAAGATCACGTCTAAACGATGAGACACTTTCATGTTTTAAGATCTCGTTTTCTAAAAAAGACTGATCAATATATTATGTACTAAATTAATGTCGTTCGGGAAGCTACGACACATCTTCTCGTCAGACATACCTCAAAACCTGAAAACGAAATTGTACAACCAGTGCGTGTTGCCAGTAATGACTTATGGAACTGAGACGTGGTCCTTCACTGCTGGCCGTATGAGGAAGCTCAAGGTCGCTCAGCGGGCTATGGAGAGGGCTATGCTCGGAGTTTCTCTGCGTGATAAACTTAGGAATGAGGATATCCGCAGTAGAACCAGAATAACCGACATAGCCCAACGGATTAGTAAGCTGAAGTGGCAGTGGGCCGGCCATATAGCTCGAAGAACCGACAACCGATGGGGAAGAAAGGTTCTCGAGTGGCAGCCTCGTACCGGTAGGCGAAGTGTAGGGCGTCCCCCCACGAGATGGAGTGACGACCTGGTAAGACATGCAGGAAGTCGATGGATGCAGGTGGCTCAGGACCGTGCTTTGTGGCATTCTTTGGGGGAGGCCTATGTTCAGCAGTGGACTTGTGAAGGGCTGTAATGATGATGATGATGATGATGATGAAATTAATGTCATAAAAATAGAATTTATTAATTATTTCTTCTTTTATTTGTAACTGAGTTACCTTAAACATTCGTTTTTTGAAACTACAGTTTTATAAAAAAGATTGATACCTAAATAAGTTTTGTTGCATTTGATTTTATGTTATGTTTAGGTTATGACTGTGTTTTGTTGTTTATTTTAGTTGATTTTACTTTGTCGTGTCTGAATAAATGCAGATTTTAAATGATTTATGCTGTTTCATTTCAGTTTTATCAAATCACCTTAAAACTTCAAAAAAATCTGGATTTTGCAATCTCTAGGTTTAACTGATTCTCAACTTGATTTTTAAATTATTTAAACTTTTCTAGGACTTCTGACTTGTTGTGCATGGTATACACAAATATTTTCTCTGAGTAGTCATCGAGGAATGTAACACGTGTTGATTTAAAAAAAAGATACGACTCGCGTGTCATATGCAACACACAAAAGTAATAGGTGGCACGCCTGGCGTGCCATCCGCACTGAACCGGTTAAATCAGTTACTGCAATATTCATTATTTCCTTTATTCGCACCGATGCGTCCTATACTTTCGTTTTATTTTTATGATCTTTGTCTTTAGCATCCTATAAAATGGGTTCGGCATGATAACACTCGATCAACACGAGTTCCTGCTCGTTCGTCCAATTGACGATCATTTTGACGCACCGTCTTCCGTAAAAAAATACAAATATGCACAACCTCACGGCACTGAGTCTTGCGCGTTACTGATTTCACGCGCGAGTGTGGATGCGCTTGCGTTCACGGGAGGTTCGCGGCTCGTAAACTCTGACGCGAGCGCAAAATACCGATACTGAACAAGAACAAGGCATGAAAAGGCGTGAAGCCCGTGAACGGTCGCGAAAGCCATCCACATTCGCGGTTCGCGGCTTCCATAGGTGTTCACGGTGGGAATGTGGAGACTGCTTCATAAATAATATTAAATAGTGATACGAGGTGAGCGTTTAATGTTGTGGTGTGTGCAGGCGCAGGTGTCGATGTGGTCGCGCACGGCGCTCGCGGAGCTGGCGCTGCGGCTGGGCGCGGCGGGCGACGTGCGGGCGGCGGTGCGGGGGGCGGCGCGGGGAGCGGGCTACGAGCTGACGGCGCGCGCGCAGTACTCGGCCGAGCCGCGCCTGCACGTGCGCGTGCACGTGGACGCGCACCAGCCCGCCGCGCTCTGCGTGCGCCTGCACACCGACGACTACCACCGCTGGTGCGTACTCTCACATTGTATTATATTATATACATATATACCGGGTGTTTGTGAAACGCTCCCGAAAACTAAGACGGTACTAACTATACCTTTAATGGTGGCTAAGAAATAAAATCTATCCTGAGGAAAAAAAATTCATCTTTTCGCAACGTTTTATTACTTTTATTCACGCCCCATAATGTTGCTATAGCTAAATAAAATGATAATTTCATTAAATAACTCATAAAATCAGCTGACTAGGGTCAATATCCGCGCGTAAGCCAAACTGTTTTATCTAGCTCGGTACGAAACAATGCATTAGGTGTTGTACTATTCGCTCTATCCTTCCCTTTCACACAGGCGCTGCCGCCGCCCGGTCGATTCGTGTCACCCCGCGTCAGCGTTGCCAACATATGGAGAGTTCCCCAAATTGCGGGGAATTTAAAGTTGGTTGGGGATTTTATGGGGATTGGTATTATGCGGGTAAAATGCGGGGATTTTGAAAACCGATATACTTATTACTTATCTTAACATTTTTCTTAGGTTGCTTATGAATATCGAATGACTCCTTTTTTTAAATATCTTTATTGCACCACATTTAATTTTCGGATTTATTTCAGTAACATTTGTGTATAGTTTAATGCTTTCGTTTCTTATTTTTTTAATATTAAAGCAGAGAACCGCATGCATATAAATGCAGATACTGTGGTACTTTTTAATGACAACAAGGAAAGAAATTAAATATACTCCATGGAGTAAAATGCTTATTACAAAAATATGGAGTGTGAAAAAAATCTTTCGGTAAAAAGAAAAAACATGTTAGTTAAAAATAAATCTTATAAAATTAGTTGAAAATTGCTTAATTTCTTAAAATAAAATTGAGGGGAATCTGTTGAAGTTGTTTTGTGCTTAAATTGGGGATTTGACATGGATTTTCCGAGAATTTGACAAATTGGTGTTGGCAACGCTGCTATGTTGCACCGAAATTTACCTACTAAGATTTGTTTGCAAGTGACAAGAATTAAAGGCGGCAATAACAATAAAACTTGCAAGTAATTTTGACGTACCTCTTTTTAAACCAAAGTATTGGACGGATTAAAAACTCAAAGTCAATTAATATAAAGTTAAAGAATTATTTTTTAGATTAATTAACTGTCAATCATAATTGCAATTAATTTTAACTATTAAATTATTCAATACCATTTCATTTCTATTTTCTTGTACAAAATCAAAGATCACGATGAAATAGTGTTTATAATTGTGTGAGTACCCAAGTAGGTACATTTATTAATTTCAATATCATTTCTGTAGTAACGAACTGTTTGTTTCGTCAGGGTACAATTGATTGTATAATTGTATTAAAAAATTACAACTATAACTTCTAAATTCCATATGAAGACTAGTCGTAGGGATCATATGGAAACTAAACTTATAAAATAAAAGTTGGCAATGTCATAACAGTTTAACGATCTGTGGGAACGCAGTAAGTAGGCTTCAGTTTTAGCGGGATCCATTACTAATTTTAGTTTTTGAGACAGTTGCGTGTTGACTTTGGACACGCGTGCGCGAGCGACAGTTCAATCGTTTTGTTTATACTTGTTATTACGTTTTGTTATTATTCTTGTTAAGTTTTGTGTTTCTTTTTTGTTGTAATAATGCCTAACGCGTACGTTTATAGTGCTCGTGTATACGGCAACATGTTAATAGGTCTTGGAGAAGCTTGCGGGAATGCTTCGTGTGCATTACGAATTTACCGAGAGAAATTTCCGACCGCTCGACGCCTAGCTGACTCTCGTCCGATAACAGCAGCATTTCAGCGAGTGTTGGAAAATCGGCCTATTGCTCCGGTAGCGGCAGGAGGTCGAAGTCAAGTGGCTGTTCACTCCGAGGAGCGCATTTTAGATGTCGTTCGCGAATATCCGAACCTAGGTACACGAAGTGTCATTAAATTGTTAAGACGCCGGGATGGCACAAGTGTGTCATACTGTGCAGCTCACAAGGTGTTAAAGTGTAACAGAATGCGCCCATACAAAGTGCGCAAAGTGCAAGCTTTAGTTCCCGGCGATCACGACCGCCAGCGAGGTTTCTGCCGTTGGTTATTAGATCAGCAACAACGTGTACCTGGTTTCATTGAGCGCGTTATATGGACGGACGAGTCGACATTTACCAGAAACGGCCTGTGGAACCGAAGAAATACATACCGTGTATTCAGAGGTTAACCCACCCGCACGCTGTTCGATAAACCGGGCACGAAATCCGATGGTCGGTTAACGTATGGGCAGGTTTATTTAAGGATCGCATACTGGGAGCAGTGTTTTCTGCCATAGCGACTTAACGGACAGCGATACCTAAACTTTATAAATGAACGGTTGGTTAACATTTTAGACGACTTATTGTTGGTTGAATATCGTCGCACATGGTTTCAGCAAGATGGTGCACCTCCACATGTCGTGAGGTTCGTCCGTGAGCGCCTCACCGAATTATTTGATGATCGCTGGATTGGCAGACTAGGATCACACGCTTGGCCACCTTGCTCACCAGATTTAACTCCGTTAGACTTCTTTCTGTGGGGGTATGTGAAAGAAAGGGTTTTTAATCGTGAGTGTGATAGTGCTGACGAAATGCGTCAAATGATCGTGGATATTTTCGACAAACTACGTACGGACTGTGTGGAAGACCACACGATGATGCCCCGCCTGTATGAAGAGACGCAACACCTTATCAATTCCGCGTGACAATAGGGTCAATAACTCTATTGTCAGTTGATTTCATTTAAGTTCTACTGCTGGTGTTGTTGCACCACTGGTGGTGGCTATGTTTAAGTATTTTTATGGTTTTTTTTTTATAGAATTATCGTTTCATTTAGCTGTACTAACATGATAGAGTGTGAATAAAACTAATAAAACGTTGTGAAAAGATGATTTTTTTCCTCGGGATCAATTTTCTTCTTGCCCATGATCAAAAGTATTGTTAGTACTATCTTTGTCTTCGGGAGCGTTTCACAAACACCCGGTATAGTATTATTGGAAGATTAGTATGTAATATTGCATAATGATGATTAATGTAATAGTACGGTTGTATTAAGAGATGGTTGGTGACGTTGAGTGCAGGAGCAACGTGACGCTGAGCAGCTCGCTGGGCGACGGGGCGCGCGGCGTGCGGCGTGCGCGAGCCGTGCGCGTGGCGCAGCCCGGCCGCACGCTGGCGCTCGGCGCGCGCAACGACGCCGCCTGCCGCGCGCTCTAGCCGCGCCGCGCACGCGCCGCGCACGCACCGCGCACGCACCGCGCACGCACCGCGCACGCACCGCGCACGCGCCGCGCACGCACCGCGCACGAGTCACGCAGACCAAAGCGCTTCGTACCAAATACTGCACACGAGTTCCGAATGTCGCTCGCCGGACCATCCTCCTACCCAGCCACCGCCATGGCTCCTGAAAAGCTCACGCAAATACAACATAAAAGCATTTCTACCTGCCCAATATCAACACACACAAATTAGGAGTAGGCGTGGCTTACCAATTGCGCTGTGAACGAGTTTAATATTAACACTGTCACTATCAAAATAATAATAAATTGCTATTAACAATGAGTGACGAACAAAATGACGTCATATAATTAACGTTATAAGCGACTTAAATGATGTAAATTATTTGAAATCAAAAACTTTTATATGTGGTAGATTTACTCTTTAAAAACCATTAGGAAATTTTGATTTTTTTCTTAAGTTAATCAACGATAGAGTTTAAATAAAATAACTCAATAATTACATTAATAAATAAACTCGCCACAAGGAAAGTTCGCACGCTCTATCTTGGCCGGGCTAAAGTTATTCACGAGCGGCTACGCAAACACAGTTTTTAGTAACAAAATAGCAACAAGAAGTGGGGGGAGAGTGGGCGCTTATTAAAATTAGAAATACACACATTACATCGTTACATTTACATAATACTCGTTATTGTCAATTGTAATTCGATTTTATTTTATATTCTTTTATAGTTCATAAGTGTGTTAATATAACATATCGTATTAAATACAGTGATTATGATGATGTGCATTTAAATTTTTATTGAATTTTTTAAATTTTAGTATTTAGGGATATATCGACTATTTACTATAATATATGCAAACTTTTTATCACAATTATTTATTAAATAATATGATTTTATTGAAATATATAAAGATATTTTCATTATAATAATAATTTTCAATTTATTCTAAAATCAATATAGACAAAAACTGTTTCCCTAAGCAATATTAGTATTAGGAACGAACATGAAGTGGCACATCTCTATCGATTACCTCCTATGCTCACCCAAATTCTCGGTAAGCCAACTTCAGTCCGGCCAAGATATGAATTTGTTTGAAATATTGTGCCATGTCCTATTTGCGTTCACTGATCCTGAAGCTCTTCGTAATAGAAGCTCTAGTATAATATAAGGCAGTCAAATACGTCGTTAAAGCCATTTGTGTTTCTTGGTACTGTTAAAATAAAACTATTTAACGCAAACTCTCAAAGTAACCTAACCGTCAAATCGACACTGTATAAACTTCTTTATAATGTAATCTCAAACGGCAGCATTGGACGTGGCTATAGAGGCACGTCGCAATACAAATGGTAAATCATATACAATATGTTCCATTCCAAATTCAAATAGTATAGATAAAATCTGAAGCAATTCAGTTAAGTAAAGTTAAGTTAAAAGTTACTTTTCTTGTGTGGTAATTAAATTATGGATCTAATAACTTAATTATTTTATCTATACCTCTATTAAAATACAGGTATATTATATGTAATTGAATATTGAATAGCTTTAATAATATATTAAACATTTAGACTGATGATGATAGAATCAATTGTCGTATTTTAATATTCTTATACAAATGTAACGGCTATTAGTCAAATGATTTTATAAATATTTTCCTATACATACTGCATGTTCCATAATAATATATTGTATAAAATAAATAAATATGAACTTTTTTTATTTTTTGTTTTATTTTTATATAACGTCGGGGAAAAAGTTTCTTCGTATTTTATATACAAATTGATAAATTTTTTTGTCAAAGTTTAATTATAATATACAGGCTTATTTTTCAAAGACTAGCCATATTGAATAATTAATTTTAAAATATGAAAATTGATACACAGTTGCCACTTGTTTTGATAAATACGCTTAAATAAGGTTTCTACATTGATTTGAAAATATCCGAAATTAAATGTGATTGCAACAACAACGCGCACTCATGTGTGTACGCGTCAATGCACGGAGCTTTTGCCTACTATAGGATGCCTTAAGCGCAAATCGCGTAGGTATGTTCTACTAGCGCCTAAAAGTTAAGATTTCAACGTTTTTTCGTATGAAATCGTATCTAGCAATCATAAAGCAAATCAAATCAAAAAGCACATTGTTAGAAAGATAAATGATTGTTCAACTTATTAATATTTTTTTTTAATCGATCAGTTGCTATTTTTACATAAAAAGGGCTTTTAGTGGCTTATAGTGTGGATTTACCAAGTACGCATGGCGCCGTAAACACGATAATTTTTGAAAATATCAATTGTTTAACTTAATCTCTTTGTGGCGGCGCTGTCGTCGTACCACAAGCGAAATACATCGAAACCTAAATCGCGCTAACAAAGTTCCGATATTAAAGCAGTATATATAGAATAGCTCCAAACTACCACACGGAGTGTTGGCCGCTCCCCGGGCTGTACACCTTGCCCGGCGGGAGATCTCTCCTTTTCTTTCCACCCGCCACAGTGGTAACCTCGACGTGATATGAACACGCAACCAATAACCTTCGGAAACTTCAACTTCGAGCCTTCGTCATCGTCCTCAAATACCCCATTCATTCGCGATATTGTCTGCAGTCTTCACATTCTGCTTTACAAAGGTTCATCGCAGCACTGGAATAATAATGCTTCCTGTTCCTTCAAGCTACTCTCTGTGCTACAGTGTTCGGCACGGCTCTGAGCCTTACTGCTCGCCTCTGTTTCACGGCACTCTCGCAGATTACTTGCCTTCTTCTCGACTCACCGCAGACTACAAGGAAAAAGATCTGGAGTCACTGTAAATAATGCAACTCGTTGCCTGGTCCTTGAGTACGTGATTTGTTGCCTCGAATATGGCCAGCAACTCCGCCTGGTAGACTGTGCAGAAATTTTCCAACTTTATTTTTCTGGTATTTGTCTCCGCTGCGCCATTCTAAATAGATAGCGCAGCGCCAACTTTGCCCTCGATCTTGCTGCCATCTGTGTATATTTTTAGTTCTTTATTGTCGTTTCGGTCAATTTGTGCACGGTCCTCCAGGCTATAAATTGCAGCCCAACTTGTTTCGTCGGGTGAGGCGTTTTAGCGAAATCTGTCTTCCTTTCCACATCTCGATCCCCTACCACTCGCTGGGTGTGCACGCACCTAGTTGCCCAGACTAAGGTCGACTATACAGGGGCCCATACAGCTGTAGATTTGACGGACAACTAAGTGTGGGGCTCAAATGCCCATGGATATTTAATATATATAGATTAGGTACTTAATGCGACTTACCTGGTTCAGAAGCGAAGAAAGACCACAAGGCTCGTTCAGGCGTTAAGTGTAGTGAATGTAAGTAGTGTGTGAGAAGTGTATATATGTTTAACCTGAATTAGTCCTTTTTAATCAACAGCAACCCTGACTCCAGCACCGCCACCCTATGTGGTATCACTCCAGCGGCGTCACTCGGTGTCACTCAAAGTCTAGCGTCCATTAGCACAAATCTATAATCTAATACGAACGCTGGTTCTCGCGGGGCACAAAGTTTAGCGGTTTTAACCGACACAGGAAAATATCTCCGAGTTAAATCAAATGGCACAAAGCAACTCGTGGACGCGAATTAATATTGTCAGAATGCACTTATGCATGCAACCACTATACCACTTGACGCTAATTAATTGTAACGACGTTAATTAATCGCTCAAACTCAAAATTCAGCCTCGTTGACACGTAAAACAAACAAAAAAAAACAACGCAAAAATGAGAGGCACTTAAATCGACGTTATAATTCCACACGCGTCCTTTACAACCGGTAGTTCCTCACAATGATTCTCTCCACGCGTCCCGTTCGACACGATTTCGAATGGAACGCGAGCGCGCGGAGGGGCGGCGGTGACCTTGCTACGGTGCTATGCACGCTCCGAGCGTGCGTTATGAATTCAGTTTTCAAACGGTTAATATTTTGCCTAAACAAACCCCGCCCCGGACATAACGACTTATGTCCGCGAGTAGATTGGCAAACGGGACAGTGTCGCGACGGCACGTTGCAAGACCGAATCTCCGACCAAAACCTCGGCCACCCTAGGCACCCCATCCGATCCATACGACAACTTAACAATGCGCCCACGGCGCCAATACAAAGGCAAAGCGTTGGGTTCTTCAACTAACACGAGGTCTCCAACCCGAGGAGGTTCCGTCTTGTCAGACCACTTAATGCGCTGCTGCAAAAGATGTAGGTACTCCAGAGACCATCAGTGCCAAAAACTCTGAGTTATCTGTTGCAGCAGGTCAAATCTGCTCAGCCGCGAAGAGTTTACTTCTCTGAAGGGGTACTCGGGCAAGGCGTTAAGCGGCTGGCCAATCAGGAAGTGTCCCGGGGTTAGATCCTCCAAATCATTCGGATCGGACGAGAAGGGACAGAGGGGCCGAGAGTTGAGTACCGCCTCAATTTTACAGAATACAGGGGCAAGCTCCTCAAACGTCAAAATAGTTTCGCCAATAACGCGACGGAGATGCGTTTTTGCAACCTTAACCACCACCTCAAAAATACCGCCCCAGTGTGGGCAAGCCGGAGGGTCGAATTTCCACTGGATGCCCTTCTTGGACATCGCAGTACCTAAATAAGTCCTGTTGCTGGACAGAAATTCGACGACCTCTTTCAAATATCTATCCGTGCCCTTATAATTTGTTCCACAATCAGACCGGATCAGGTCCGGCAAACCGCGACGCGATACGAAGCGGCCCAGCGTGGCCACAAAGGCTTCAGTGCTGAAGGCACTTACCAGTTCTAAGTGAACGGCCTTAATGGAGAGGCACACGAAAACGCACAGTTAGGCTTTATGTGAACGCGCGTTACGAAGGTTGGAGGACTTGACGAGGAAGGGGTCAGCAAAGTCTGTTCCGACTCCAGCGAATGGTTGGATGGACCTGATGAGTGAATGGTCGGGTGGTAAGTCACCCATCATAGGCTGCGATATGGTGGCCTTCAGTTTATAACATGGTATGCACTTAAAGATGACGCTCTGAATGGTGCGTCGGCCAGCCAAAATCCTAAACTACCGCTGCAAAATAGGCGAAAGAGCGTTACACCCAGCGTGGGCCTTCAAGTTTTCAATCACTGGCTCAAAATGCTCCGCTTGGACCATACGGGTCCAGTGCATCAAATCTTCGCGACGCTCGCTAGGGGACAAAACGGAATCAGAGATTCGGTTGGACGGGTCTCTCGAATTGTGGACAAATCGTTGCAACCAAGGAGTTACTCCTAAGAGCTTATCGAGAGAGTTGTACCGTTCTAGAAGGGAGAGATCCCGAGTAGGCTTATCCTTGCCCACTCCTACTCGGGTTCGTAGGCCAGCAATTCAATCGTTTCGGAGTATTTACCCTGTGGCCAGAATGACTGAGACACAGTCAACCGACTGGGACCCCACCGCAGCGGGTGTAGGTTAGGTTAGGTTCCGCCGGGTTCACACATCGTGGTCAGCGGGACCCGGATAGCTGTCGAGTCCACCATGAAGTATCTGGGATTGGTGCTCGACAGCCGATGGGAATTCGGACCCCACTTCCGGCGGCTGGCGCCCAAGCTGATGGGTGCAGCGGGAGCTCTATCAACGTTGCTTCCCAACTTGGGGGGCCCGAGCGCCGCCTGTAGGCGGTTGTACGTGGGAATCGTGCGGTCCATGGCCCTATATGGGGCCCCTGTGTGGGCGATGGACATGACGGCCAGCACTCTCGCCATCTGCGCAAACCGCAGAGGGCGATGGCCGTCAGAGTCGTCCGCGGGTATCGTACGATTTCCTATGAGGCGGCTTGCGTCCTGGCCGGATCCCCGCCCTGGGACCTAGAGGGGAAAGTACTCGCGTCATTATATCGATGGCGCGAGGAAGATCGCGGGCACGGGGCTCGACGCCGGTGCAGCGGCAGATCGCGCTGCGCCGAGAGGAGCTTCGTCAGGTCTTGGTGGCGGAATGGCGGCAAAGGCTTCTGCGCCCTACCGCCGGCCTCGCTACCGTCGAGGCGATCCGGTCAGTACTCGACGACTGGCTCGGGAGAAGGCACGGCTCCCTGTCGTTTAGGGTGACGCAAGTGCTGTCGGGGCATGGCTGCTTCGGCAAGTACCTGTGCCGCATAGACAGGGAGCCGGACGCTCGGTGCCACCACTGCATCCATTGCGGGGAGGACACGGCGCAACACACGCTCTCCGAGTGTGTAGCTTGGGAGGAGTAAAGTAGGAGGCAATCTGTCGCTGCCGGCCTTAGTGCGGAAGATGGTCGGTAGCGCAGATTCGTGGGATGCGGTGGTGTCCTTCTGCGAGGACGTGATGTCGCAGAAGGAAACTGCGGAACGGGAAAGGGAGATCTCGACTCCATTCCCTGGCCACAGAAGGCGCACCGGGCGTAGGAGAAGGGCGGACAACGCCCTTTTCCGGCCCCCATGAATGGGTCCCGGGGCGAGGGACTTGGGGAAGCCCCCGCCACCCCTACTCGATGGACCCGAGGCGGAGGCGCGCGCGGGTGTCGGCGCGCGCCCCTGAGGCGATACACGGGGTAGTTGAACACCTCACTACCCCGTGCAGGAGACAAGGCCCGGATAGACCGGGCCAGCACTAGTGTGGGGCTGCAGAAGAATTTGGATTCCCACGGCCCTACGCGCACGTCTGAGGAGACACCGGGGTGGTTTTAGCCGGTAAGAGTCCGGCACGCCCCTCCGCCTTTCCCCAGGCGGAGGTAGTCCATGAGGATTTCCCCCCGTAAAAAAAAAAAGGTTAGGTTAGGTTAGGTTTTTTTTTTGATACTGCAGCCCTCTGACGAATGTATTCAGAGTCTTTTTTAATGCGTTGGCGTAATTAATCTTTCAATTTTATTATAAAACTTTTAAATAAAATAAATATTTATAAATTTCGAATTTTGAATCAGTGCATTCTCTCTGTATATACATTGTATAAACACAAGGAAGCACCTAGTGTATAGTCGTCATTACATTTTACAACCAATAAAATTGTATAATTAATAAATTCAATAATTCTTAAAATGATTCAAACTATTTGCTAAATAATCAGTTATAATAATAATAATACATAAATATCAATAATAATAATAAATAATTACAAACATCACATTACATTTTCGTCATCTTAAATTATTTTACGAAATTATAAATAATTTACTTTTGATTATTTTTAATAACTTGTTTTACTACCCCCTCACAAAATTTTATAAAATTATTTCTTGTCCTTTTTTCTTTTAACAATATATGCAAATTGTCTTTTTTAATTTGTAGATTAGTTTCAAACTCGAGATGACATCTGATTTTATCGAACCGAGGACACTCCAGAAGGATATGCAACACTGTCTCCTCGATTTCGGGCTCACAGATGCATGATGGGCTCTCTTTGCAACGAAATCGATAGAGGTACTCGGAGAACCCACCATGTCCGGTCATTGCCTGAACCATCGTCGGAGACAGCGCTGTTTCCCTTATTACTTTGTGGGCTGACTCAGCGTCCGGCAGAAAAACTTTTGTTGTTTTAGCGGTCTCTCCCTCTGCATATCTCCGGTTCCATTCTTGTAGCGTCTCCGATCGAATGAGACGCTTTACAAAGGAGACCGGACAAAGGTCATAGTCCGGACTTCTTTTAGTTTGCAGCGCTGCATGTTTTGCCAACTCGTCAGCACGTTCATTTACTGCAAGACCCGCATGGGCTTTAATCCAAAAGAGTTGTAATGTTTTTTGTTGCCCCAAGATGTTGTGGATGTTTTTACGGGTCTTGACTGCTAAACGGTGTTGGGAGTCTTGGTTTACAATGGTCTCAAGAGCAGACCTAGAGTCACTGTAAACCCCGAAAGTTGTCTCCGCGCTAGAAAGGATCCGCTCAGTTGTCATGTATATGGCCAGTAATTCTACCTGGTAAACGGTACAGTGGTCCGACAGTTTGAGCTTCAGAGTTCGGATCTCGGCGGCACTATTTCAAAAAGATAATGCCGCTCCGATCTTTCCCTCTATTTTACTCCCGTCGGTAAATATTCGGAGACTCTGGATGTTGTTGCGTCTAGTTTCGTCCTCATTTACCAGGCATATGAAATTCAGGTCCATATCGGATGCTGGATGAGGCAACTCCGTGCAGCTCGCCGTTGTTTCCACCACTCGGTCTGCCAGCACTGACTGGAGTTTCCCTCGCTTTGCTACAAAAAGTGATGCTGCTTCTTGGACTCTTAAGTCCAGAGGAAGCAGACCAGCCAATACTAGCGCCGAGTGTAGGGATACAGTAGGGTACGCTTTTATGATTTTTTGAGCGAATCCTCTCTGCACAGTATTCAGTTGCTTTCGGACTCCCAACTTTTTAGCGGCTGGCGCCCACACGCTCGCCGCGTACAATACTATCGGCTCAACGACCGCCGTGTACATCGTCCTGATGATCTCTGGTTGAAGGCCCCAACTAACCTTTGCAGCTCTCGATAGTTGTCCGTAGAATGCTGTAGCCTTCCTACTCACATGGGTGTTGAAGGTGAGTTTCTTGTCTACGGTGACACCAAGCACCTTAATCTCCTCCGACATGCCAATGCCTATCCCGCCCATATTTAGACGTGGAGAATCGTATTTCAATTTGTTAGTTATAACCGTAGCCTTAGTCTTATGTGGCGCGAATTTGAGTTTGTTACGGATTCCCCACCTCCGAACATGTTCAAGAGCGGCATTCGCACGTCTTTGGATCTCAAGAGCCGTGTCACCCGCAAACAACAGGACAATGTCGTCGGCAAACGCTTGACACCGATCACCCCTTTTCTCCAGCTCTTTAAGCAAAGGGTCCAAAAGCAAGTTCCACAGAACCGGGCCACCTGTGGAGCCCTGTACGCACCCCTTTGTAGTTGTTTGTATTTGCTCCACACCCGCATACCTCACTCTAACTTTTCTGCCCTGGAGATAACTATCAATTAATTTCCTAATATTTATAGGGCATCTTTCCACAGCCAACCGACATCTAATTGCTGGCCACCAAGCACTATCGAATGCTCCCTCTATGTCAAGAGATATCATGGTCACTATCTTCTTATTTCGTAACTGTGTACGTATGTAATTCATCATGTCATAGAGGGAGTCTTCGGTGCTTCTCTGTGGTGTGAAGCCGTATTGGCGAGTACTAAAACTTGGTTGAACGTGCCACCTTACCCTTCTTATAACCATCTTCTCCAGGACTTTTCCCTTAACAGATAGTAGACCTATAGGTCTGTAGGCCTTCGGGTGTGTGTAATCCTCCCTTCCTGGCTTTCGTAGGACCACAACTACTGCTTCCTTCCATATAATGGGGAAGTGTCCTAACTCGAGGCATTTATTTGCAAGACTCAAGTAAATACCGGGGTTTTGGGAAATCGCCTCTCGGCAGATATCAGCCGTGAAGCCGTCCCCTCCCGGAGCCTTTTTTGGTTTGAAACTGTTCAAGGCCTAATTTAGCTCAGAGATAGTGGGTGGTGGGTCGCAAGAATCATCTTGCGATCCTGCATTTACTTCTTCGGCTATTTCTCTTATACGCTGATGGTCTGCGTCGTCAGCTTCAAATAGGTCCTCCGGGTAAAAGGTTTCCGCTAGCATCCTAGCCGATTCTTCATTGTCTAATATTTTTCCGTTTTATACAAGTGGCAGGTCTTCATGCCGTTTTGCTGTTCTGCCGATTTCCCGATATATCCCGTCCCATAAGCTTTCTTTGTCCTGTTTTCCACAGAACTCCTTCCAGCTTTTGATTTGAGCCTTTTTTGCTTCATACTCATATTTGTCTTTCGCTTCTAAGTACTCCTTGACGACGGCGGCTCGTCGCACCGCGGCAGCACATCTTATGCGGCGTTTTTTAATGATGACATTTTTCTTAAGCGCAACAAGTTCTTGGTTCCACCACGGCAGGGTAACTTTAACTTTATTTTTAATTTTTGGGATTGTGGCCTCGCATGTTTCTTTAATTGTTTCCAAATATTCACCTAATTTATACTCTAAATTTTCCTTATTGTCTATTTTATTTATTTCTAATATTTTTAAATTTTTATCTGTTAGCAATTGTGCCAGTTTCTCACGAAACTGACTCCAATTCGATTTTTTACTATCATATAATCTTGTAACTCTTTCTATTTTAAGCCCAACTGTTTTTACTTGATTAATTCTAAATATAATAGTGTTGTGATCTGAACTTGTCACGCTGTCGTCAATCTTCCAATCCTCTACCAGACTAAATAAGTTTTTCGAGCACACTGTGATGTCGACATGGCTCTGATATATTTTACCGCCTCTCACCGTATCGTAAGTTGGGGTTTCTCCTTTATTAAGTATGTGAAGATCTAGGTGGTTTAGAGTACCCAAAAGCGTTTCTCTTCGTTTATCTTCCTTTATACTGCCCCACCAAGGGCTCCACGCATTTGTGTCACCTCTAATCAATATTTTCATTTTTCCCAATTTCGTAACTATATCCTTTAGTTGATCCATGTACGGTTCGATGGGTACATCCGGCTCTAGATAGAGTGAGATGACACCCATCTCCCAGGTATTTGTTTTGACTACAACCACTGCGATGTTATTTGTGGTGAGAGTCGGACATTGAGTAACGTAGATATTATTGTCAAATACGGCTATCGCTGCCTTTACTGCTCCCTCTGTCTGTCCGCTTTGAAAAATGCGCGCTCCCCGATAGTCCCTCATATATCCTCCCCCCACATATGGTTCCTGGATCAGGGCTAAGCTCATCCCTCCCTTGCTTACTTCTAACATTAATTCGCTCGTTGCGAGCTCCTTCTCCTGAAGATTTGCCTGTACCACTAACATATTTGTCGCCCTTGTTTTAACCTGCCTTTCTAACTCTCTGCCTTTATTTCTCATTTCAACTTTAGCAATAAGCCACGCTTGCTCTGGCTATTGCGTCCCATCTTCTGCGCACTGGACACTCGTTGTCGAAAGCATTGTGGTCCTGGCGATCCATCTTTGCCTTAACACAATTTATGCAGGAGGGCACTTCTACAGCTGGAAAGGCGGTACAAGAGGTCTTTAAGTGTGGGCCTCCACAGTGGGAGCATTTGTCATCTAGTTCATTACAATGCTTTTTACCGTGGCTATAAGCGAGACATCTAGAACATTGCATTAATGGTGACTGATCCGCCACAACCACACGTTGCAAGTTCACATGAACTCGTCCCGCCTCTGTCAGTCGATTTCATACTGGTGGGGAGACCTGGAGAACAACATGATTTGTGTGGGGGTTTCTTGTCTTTTCACGGTAACGTACTGACAATCTTACTTCTTCGCTTTTCAAGGACTCCATTAGGTTTTTATTTTGGCTCCTAATAGCAGCGGTTATGTCGTCATCGCTGTCGATTGTCAGCACGTTCCTCAATATGACCAATGGATCTTTATTTTTTGCCTGTTCAACTGATAACCCAGTATCACCGGCTTTAATTCGGTTTGTCACCTTTTCCATCTCTTCCTTAGTGCCACAGCCCACGATCACTTTTTGGTCCTTAGCTTTCCTCAATTTTTCTACTCTGAGCCCACTTTGCTTTGCGTTCACAGCCACTCTGATCTTTTCAATAACATCGCCACTTGTATTTTTTTCATTCCCTGATCTTACTATAATAGAGTGCATTTGGACCGGAATTGTGTTTCTCAAGTGAGTCGCGTTAGACTCCACGGGTTGCCCTTTATTCCACTTTGCAGTTACACTTGCATAGGTGATCATCGCTTAAGCGTTGGGTCTCTGTCCTGCACTCTGTGAGTAATTTGCTATTTTCCTCCATTTTCTTAACTAATTCGTACTCTGTTTCCTGTTTTCTTTCCAGGCTTATCCCTTCCTTCTCTGATGTTATTTCCTTTCCTTCTTCAACATCCTTGATCAATCTGTAAAGTTTGTCTGCAGCTTCTGTAATTTTTTTTTAATTTCGGTCTTCAAATTTCGTGAGCTATTTAATAATAATTTTATTCTGACCACGTGCGCCTTTGCCTCTTGTGCTCTATTTAAATATTTAGTTGTTTCAATACCCATTTGATTTTCGTCACACTCTACGGCTGATGGATTTTTTGATTTATGTTTGGTCGGCAAGGCAGAAGTCTTGGTTTTTGGTGCAGCACCAAGACGCGATTCAAGTTCGCCAACACTTTTCCTTACATGGGATGTTGTTTCCTTGTCTTTTCCCGCCGAAGTTTTTGCCTTATTGGTACCCTTATTTGAGTCCTCCATCGAAGCTACAGACTTATTTTGTGGGGGAGTTTTAAACATTTTAATTTTTTCGAGGGCTTTGTCAATCAAAATAAAAAGTCAACTTTAAATAATTAATATGCGCCCAATAAGACGTAAATATTGTAAAAATAAAATAAAATGTCAATAAATTAAGTAAAATACTTTTTACTATGTCTTTTAATATTACTCCTTAAAAAAAGATTATTAAAATAAAATGCTTATGGCGAAAATAAAATTTTAAATATAGCTTTGTAATAATACAAACTGTCGTTGCTTTAGTAAAAATGTTAACTAAGTCATTCATTATAACTATTTGTAAATTAAAACGAATAAAAATAAAATTAAAATAAATGAACTAAAAATCTTGTATCAAACTCAACATAAGCAGTAAAAACCTTCGATTTTCTCCCATTCCGTGTGTTTTATTTTGCAGATTTTAGTGCAGTTGGCAGTTTCTACGCGGGGCGGACCTAACTGAGGCAAAAAGAACGAAATAAAAGCAGGCTTGAAAAATTTTAAAAATTTTATGAAATTACGACAATTAAAAGACGGATTATTTGAAATTTTGTTATAAAACTGTGAAATTTTTATTAAAAAACTACAGGGAATTATAGGGGGCAATGAATTATACTATATAAAAGGAAAATATGTAAAGAAAAGACCAATTTTCAGCAAGGTTAGAGATGAATTTAAGTTTTATTTATGAATTTACAACTATAAGAGAATGAAAAATACGAAATTTAATTATTTAACGGTAAATATTTAATAAGAAAACTACAGGGATATATGAGGGCCAACTGATTACACTAATTAGAGAAAATTTGAACGATAAAAACCAATATTTGACAAAGTTATTAGCGAATTTGTATTTCGGTTAGGTTAGGTTAGGTTAGGTTACCCCCGAACGGGTTCCCGCCTTGTCGTGGCGGGGGGGCTTAGTAGCCGTGGCCTGGTCAACCGCGGTGAACAAAGAGGAACCCCTTGGCTGGCCCGTGGTGTAGGGCCGGCCCGAGGTGGCCACTCCGAGTGGGCTTGGCGAGCCCACTTCGGATGTGTGTCGGGGGGCTGCGGTGAGAGGGGAGTCCGCAATTAATTGTAAGTAATAACTCAAAAACCCGTGTAGTGGCACGGGTGGCTGCAGCCGAGGTGGAGTCGCGGAGGAAGAGGAGTGTTGGTATGGCGATGCGCCACTCGCCCTATCCTCCGCGACTCTGATGGGGCCGCACCGTTAATGATGCGGTGGTGGTGGGGCTGCGGGGGGAGAGGAGTGTCGGTATTGCGAGGCGCCGCTCTCCCTACCCTCCGCAGCCGAATCTCGGTTGGCGGCGGAGCCATAGACCAGATCCGCCGCTGGGGCCAGGAAGGCCGGTGCTTCTGAGTGCTAGTTTTTCCTGGCCCCATGGTCTTCGCGCATCGGACACGGGGGCGTCTGTTGCGCATTGGAAATTGGAGGCCGAGAAGGAGGGCACGCCATGTGTTCTGGTGCGCCTTACCTGAGAAGGAGATGGGGGAGGAGTGGTCCTCTCCCGAGGAGGGGCCGCCATGGGGTGGTCGGCGCAGGTGGGGCCGTGGATGTGTGCGAAAGCGTTCCCGTGGCCCTGCCAATATGCGACGAGGGTGGAACACCATAGGGTTTTAGTCGGTGCGAGTCCGACATAACCCGTCCTTGCCCCCGCGAGGCGGGTATGCGTAGGCATTTCCCCATGTAAGAAAAAAAAAGGTTAGGTTACGTTAGGTTAGGTTTTTTTTTGTTGTTATTTACTCGGGTCATCTGCTGTTATTTCTTTTACAGCACCTTTGATTTCTTTTGTTTATTTCTCTTTATTTACTTTTATTTCATTGTTTTTTTTTCGGTATTCCACCGTATTTTACCTTACATTTACTTTACATGACTGGTATTTTTTTTTCGGCACGTATTTAAACTTATAAATCTTATAAACATAGACTTACAAAGAGCATGATAATCTACAGTTTTACTACATTATTATAATAACTACTAATACCCTATTAATACTTATTGTTGCTGCAACTTCTTAATTCTACAATACTATCTATTATAATATTTCTATGGAATCTAGTAAACATTATACATGGCTTGTGTACTACCCAATATTTTGATTTTTTTTTTATACTTTCCACCGTGTTTTATCTTACATGTACTTTACATGACTGATTTTTCTGCAAATATTTATAAACTTGTAAAATTTAAAAACATAAACTTACAAAGAGCATGATAATCTACAGTTTTACTACACTATTATTAAAACTACTAATACCCTATTAATACTTATTGTTTCTACAACTACTTAATCAGTGGCGTAGCGTGCCTTAGATGGGCCCTGTATCAAAATTTGTTGGGGGGCCCCAATGAAGAGTAAAGATTTCATAAAAGGAACCAAAACGCTTGCATTGAATTCAAATTATTATATATTGATTTTAAGTTATTCATCATCATCATTACAGTCCTTCACAAGTCCACTGCTGAACATAGGCCTCCCCCAAGGAAAGCCACAAAGCACGGTCCTGAGCCACCTGCATCCATCGACTTCCTGCATATCTTACCAGGTCGTCACTCCATATAGTGGGGGGACGCCCTACATTTCGTCCGGCGGTACGAGGCCACCACTCGAGAACCTTTTTTCCCCATCGGTTGTCGGTTCTTCGAGCTATATGGTCGGCCCATTGCCACTTCAGCTTACTAATCCGTTGGGCTATGTCGATCACTCTGGTTCTACTGCGGATATCCTCATTTATAAGTTTATCACGCAGAGAAACTCCGAGCCCTCTCCATAGCTCGCTGAGCGACCTTGAGCTTCCTCATCCGGCCAGCAGTGAAGGACCACGTCTACAGTACCATAAGCCATCACTGGCAACACGCACTGGTTGTACAGTATCGTTTTCAAGTTTTGAGGTATACCTGACGAGAAGATGTGCCGTAATTTCCCAAACGCTGCCCAGCCGAGTTGAATCCGTTGATTGACTTCTCAGTCGACGTTGGACTAGACGGACTATTTGTCCCAGGTAAACATACTCGTCAACAACTTCGAGCTTAGTGCTCCCAACAAATACCGGCACAGGGTGTGACATGGACATTAAACATGATCTTTGTTTTGTCCATGTTCACCTTAAGACCTATCCGTTGGGAAACTCTATTGAGGTCATTAAGCATAGTGCTTAGGTCCTCCAGCGATTCTGCCATAAGGACTATATCGTCGGCAAATCGAAGCTGAGTGATGTACTCGTCATTTATGTTAATACCGTATACTTTCCAGTCCAGAAGCTTGAAAACGTCTTCCAATGTAGCGGTGAAGAGTTTCGGGGATATAACGCCACCCTGTCTTACACCTCTCTGCAATTGGATAGGTTTCGTACTCTGGTTCTGTACTCGGATAGCCATCGTAGCCCTACTGTACAAGCACTTCAGCACTTCGATATACCGACAGTCAACTTGACATCGCTGAAGGGACTGCAGCACCGCCCAAATTTCGATGGAATCAAAGGCTTTCTCATAGTCTACATACGCCAGACATAGTGGCAAATTGTACTCCTCGGATTTCTGTACAATTTGCCGAAGGGTGTGTATGTGGTCTATGGTGCTAAAGCCTTTTCGGAAATCAGCTTGTTCGGGAGGCTGGTAGTCGTCAAGTCTGCGCGCGAGACGATTCGTAATGACTCTCGAAAATAGCACGTAGACGCGGCACAGAAAGGAAATCGGTCTGTAGTTCTTCAAGAGAGCGTTGTCACCTTTCTTGAAGAACAAGACCACCGCACTTCTGCTCCACGCCTCCGGTGTAATGCCACCATGGAGGATTTCAAGTACCGGTTTTCCACCCGCTTTCAGAAGCTCCGCTGTAATTCCATCCTCGCCTGGGGCCTTGCCTTTTTTAAGGTGCTGGAGAGCCATTCTAATCTCGCTCAGACCGACGTCCGGTATATCATCGGAATAGTGTCGGATAAAACTCGCTCTTGGATCGTTACTCACACTTACGTGTGGCTCCAAGGATGATATGTACAGCTGCCCATAAAACCTCTCAATCTCACTCAAAATCTCAGGTGTCCCGGAAACGACGCTGCCACACTCGGTCTTCAGCTTCGACAGTTGGCTCTTTCTGGCAGACAAATCTCTACCAAAAATTTTTGAGTCCTGGTTCCAATCGCTTCTTTAATACGAGCAGTATTAAAGTTGCGTAAGTCCCACCGCATGCATTTGGAGTTCTGTCTGTTCAGTTGCCTGTAAGCTGTCTAATCTACTGAAGGCTGCAGCTTCATATCCCGTCTAACAGCCATGAGATCAAGAGTGTAATCGGAGATTTTTTGTGTTCTTCTGCGGCGGGTCTTGCAAAACTTAGCTCCGACCGCATGGACAGTTTCCACGAGCTTGTCATTCATATCGTCCACTGCATTGCAATCTTCTAGGCACTGAAAACTGTTTCGTAGCTCGAACTGAAAGGTTTTGGGACTTTGGATTAGAGCACGAGGGACGGAGCGTTGACTTCATTAGACGTGACCTCTCCAACTCAACGGTTAGGTTCGGTGTGCCTCTCACCATTCGGTGATCGCTACCGGTTTCAGTCACTGAACAGTTGTCGTCTGGTCGTCATAATGAAGTCAATCTCATTTTTTGGCGAATCGTCGAGGCTCGACCAGGTCCACTTCCTGTGGGGCTGCTTCTGGACGAAAGAGTTCATCATAAAAAGTCCCTCTTTCACCATGAAGTCGGCCAGCTGCTGGCCCCTTGGGGTCCGTTGCCCTATTCCGGAAATTCCCTACTTTCAGCTCACCGTTTTCTCTAGTGCCTAGTTTTGCGTTGAAGTCTCCCATTAACACCGTATAGTAGGTTTTGGAGGAATGCATGGCTCTAGAGATATCCTCATACATGTCCTCCACCTCCTCATCGGGGTGTTCCGAGGTTGGTGCGTAAACCTGTATGACCTTCAGCGAATACCGTTTGGTGATTCTGAGTATAAGGTACGCAACCCTCGTCGACACACTCCTAATCTTTACAACGTTGTTAACAAGAGACTTGTGGACGATAAATCCGACACCTCCTTGGGACAGATGGTCGCCCTCCTGGTGATAGAACAAATTGCCGGATTCGAGGATTACCGTGTCCTCCCCCTCTCTTCGGACTTCGGATAATCCTATGACATTCCAGCGCAACTTGTCTATCTCTTCTTCCAGCTCCACGATCTTCTCGTCAGTCCTCAGTGTGCGTGCGTTATAAGTTGCCAGGTCGAGTCGTCGTAGGTGGCAACACAACCTCCACCGGAGATTCTTAGCACCTCCTGCCCCGCCGTTACCACGGTCGCCACCGTAGCCAGGAATAGCGGGGCCGCCGGGGACTGGGGGCCATCTCTTTGTTACTTTCATGGGGGGTATATTGCCATAGTTCCCACGCTTGGCGAGCGGGTTAGCAACCGCAGTTTTTTTATTGATGTTTTGCTGTTATCAGAAAGATGCTGCTGCCCATCCTCTGCCTCAGTTTCCCACTGTCGCCTTTTACACCACCCACGGGAAGATATAGGGTAGTGAGTTTTCTCCACTGCCACCCGTGCCACTACACGGGTTTTTGAGTTATTACTTACAATTAATACTCCTAGGAACTAAGCTAGCCAAACAATTTAAAATTAAATATACACTTTTCGTGCCTTTTGTTCGGCGAACACAGCTAAAGAAGATTCGGCTGTATTCATAGCTGAAGACGATTTCAGTTTTACTAAATTCTTTACTTCTATAGACAATAGTGATAGCCTTTCCTGTCCCATAGAAGTCCTTGGAATTTTTGCTCACACACGTTTGGGGCCCCTATAGCCTGGGGGCCCCGTATCATTGATACGGCTGATACGGCGGTAGCTACGCCCCTGTACTTAATACTACAGTTCTATCTGTTTAAATGTTTCTATGGAATCTATTAATCAACATTATACATGGATTGTGTACTACATATTGTACGATGATAAAAAAAAATGTTACGATTTACGTCATAATTGAGATGGGTCATGTTTCTCAACTTGGAAAAATATTGGAGGGTAGGAATTGGTTACGGACAGCGGAGGGCCGCAGTCGCGATCGCGAGAAGTGGGAATTTTTAACAGACATTGGAAGTTTGATGCACAAAAGTTTACGTACATATTATAGCTGTGTATCAGTTAATTTTGTATTATTGAAATACATATTTTATTCGTGGAACGTTAATTTTAGAGGTGCAACGGGGTAAGTGTTTAATAGTATTTCTTATGTTGTAGTCTGAGTAACTTTGCGATAGTATTCTTAGATTATGCACTTATTTCAGTCTGTGGAAACGCCCATTAAGTTAATTGTAATCATACGCCTTCCTATATCTCTGGCAAAGAATTATTAGAAAATCTACTTCGTCATAAAACATGAGGACATAGAGAGATGATACTATACCCTAATTTGATTTGAAACGTCATCGGTAGGCATAGCCTATCGGGATAGCGGCCTAGTACATTGGGCGACTTCTTCAAATTCATGGTTCAAACCTCCGAATAAAAATATTGAAATTTATTTTTATGATTTTGCTTTTTCTTTTATTATTTATTAAGTTTGCATTTTTTGTAATGATACTTTATTTATAAGTCTTGTTTACTAAAGTAAAAGAGCTAGTGGTAAATTTTATGTTTTATTATATTTCATTTTATTTTTCTAGTTAATGCGTAGCTGTAGAATTAGTTAAAATTTTAATGCTTACATATCTTAGAGTTAGGATAATTTGTAGTTTTTTTATGCTTAAAACTATTTAGTTAATTGTTTTGTAGTGTTGAGTTGTTGTAGGCTTTTATGTTACAATTAAATAACTTATACCAAAAACACCGCACATTTGTTTCTTATCTTGCCTGGACCCCGACCCCTAGGGCTTGAGTAGACCCATGACACCAATATATATATATATGTATATATATATATATATATATATAATTTACTTACTGAATTTATACTACTAAAAATAACTGTCTGCTACTACCAATACAGGCATGCTAGTATACTTTAGATCCATTTTCCTTGAGCACCTTTTTCAAACAGTGTTCAGCAAATTCAAGGAAATGCATGTAGCTGTCATTGTCGTTGATTGCCTTACAAAGTGTGGTTTCATTTATTGCAAAGCCCATGCGGTGTTCGCAGCTTATTCTTTGTGCTGCATACTTTGGACAATCTATTAGCACGTGTTCTACTGTTTGTGGTGTTGATTGGTCACAGTCACAGCATGGACTCTGCGCCAGTTTAAATTTACATAGATATGCCTTAAAACCTCCATGTCCAGTAAAAATTTGGCATCTCATATTATTAATCTTGATATTCTTCATGGTTTTGTAGGCTTGCTTAACAGTTGTGAAGAACTTCTTTGTCACTTGTCCCGTTTGTGCCGTTGTATATCTTTCTTGCCAATTATGCAAAATTTTGTCCCTGATGGAGCGTTTTGCGAAGGAAAGAGGAAAACAGTCGTAGACTGGGGTTTGTTTCAGTGTCTCCGCGGCAGACTTTGCAAGCTCATCTGCTCTCTCGTTGCCTGGAATATCGCAGTGGACTTTGATCCAAAGGAATCTAACTTTGCCTTGATTGCTGTCTATGTCTCGCATGCGTTCCAGAATTTTTGCTGCGAGGGGGTGTAGTGCATTGGGGTTAGTGAGACTTTCCAGCGCCGATTTAGAATCACTGAGGATGTTTGCCATTTTTAGTGTTTTCTTGCTTAAGATTACTTCTGTGGCTTTTAGTATAGCTGCTAATTCTGCTTGGTAAACACTACAATGATTTCCAAGGCGTAATCTGGATTTGTATATTTCTTTCCTGCCTTTCCAGCTGGTGATGGCTGCTCCCACTTTGCCTGGAATCTTACTCCCGTCAGTATATATGCAGGGCTAGTCATTTCCGATAGATTCAAGATCTGCCTCTGCATTTATTAAGTTATAAGTTTGGTTCACGCGTTTGGCTGGATGAGGTAGCGAGTACGGACTTACAGATTTTGCTAGTTCTCTGCCAGGTAATCGTTCCAGTGGTTCCCCCCTTTTAATTCTAAATAGGTCAGCATTTTCTTGTGCTCTTAGGTCTAGGGGAAGAACTCTAGCTAAAGTGGCGCATGAGATTAAAGAAGAAGTGCGATGTGCTTTACATATCAGTATACTGAAGGTTCTCGTTATCCTGTCAAGCCAGGTTTTTATTTGTTTCTTATTTGCCACATGTCCCCATACGCTTGCAGCATATAATATGGTTGGTTCTACCACAGTTATGTAAATTGTCCTAAGAATTTCAGGATTCAGGCCCCAGTTTGTTCTAGCTGTTTTTGCCACTTTTTTATAAAGTTGGATTGCTTTTTCAGTTACCCTGTCTACATGTTTAAGGAAGTTTAGATCGGCGTCAATCGTGAGTCCAAGTATTGTAATCGTGTCAGAGAAACTTATTTCCGTTTCTCCCATTACTATCTTTGGATTTTCAAATTTCATCTTTTTTGTTATTAATATGGCCTGAGTTTTCTGAGCTGCCAGTTTCATTTTTCTCTTTTTTGCCCAGTTTATGATGTGGTATAGCACCGGATTAAGCTCCTTTTCTAAATCTTTTGCCGATTTTTCTTTCGCTATTATTGTTATATCGTCTGCGTATGCTTGAATGTATGTTCCTAGGCCTTCAACTTCTGTTAGTAATGGGTTGAGCTGCAAATTCCATAAAAGGGGTCCACAGGTAGAACCCTATATGCAGCCTTTGTTGGTTTGCTTTATCACCTCATGACCAGCATATGTAAGTTTTATTTCCCTGTCCAGTAAATAGCTGCTTATTAACCTGCATAGTGATCTGTCTACTTTCTTATTTTCTAGCTCGTTTATCATTCCGGGCCACCAGGCATTGTCGAATGCGCCCTCAATATCAATGGAGATGACGACCACAATTTCTTTACGTTTTAAGCCTTGTTTTACAATTTCGATGGCATCATACAGGGCGTCTTTTGCACCGCGCTGTGCGACAAAACCACACTGCCGTACGCTCATTTTATTTTTGTCCATAATTGCCACATCATTCTGTTCACGAATAGCTTCTTTAGTACTTTCCCCAAGACAGGTAGAAGACCAATTGGCCGATAGGACTTTGGAAGGGTATAGTTTTCCTTAAATGACGTGGTGGATAAATGAGTTTTCCTTAAATGAAAATGACGTGGAGTATAATTAACAGCGAAACCGGTAATGAGAAACCTCGTAATTCAAACTATCAATTAAAAATTAATAATGAATTGACTAAATCAAATCAAGAAGTTGCAGCGGTGTTTGAGAAATATTTCACTGATGTTCCTATCTTGACAACAGAGTCATTGAATGCTTCTCCAACTGTCGCCGAATCATTACTTAAACAGAATGTTAATACCTGTTTAAAAGAATTTAGATTTGAAAAAGTATTACCGCATAATATTGTAAAATACTTCAAAACCATTGATGTAAAGAAAACCGCAGATTTGTGGGGGATTTCCGTTACAGTGATTACGTCCATAATAGATTTAATTGCACCTCATCTTGCTATTATTTTTAATACTTGTATCGATTCTGGTGTGTTTCCTGATTTAATGAAGTATAGTAAAGTAATACCTTTATTTAAATCTGGTAGTACATTGGACCCCGCTAATTATAGACCTATTTCTGTACTACCAACTCTCAGTAAAATTTTTGAAAAAATAATTTTGGATCAATTGTTAATTTTTTTTAATACAAATAAATTACTTCATAAAAACCAATTTGGTTTTACAAGGGGTCGCTCCACGTCTGACGCCGGTGTTGAGCTTATGAAATATATTTTTAATGCCTGGGAGAATTCACAAGATGCCTTAGGTATTTTCTGTGACCTTTCCAAGGCTTTCGATTGTGTTCATCATGATACATTAATCAGGAAACTACAACATTACGGTGTAAAAAATTTGGCGCTTAAACTTATTACTTCATATTTAAGTAACAGAACTCAAAAAGTCGTCATTAATGGTAAATGTTCCTCCGGATCCGTAGTATCAATGGGCGTTCCTCAGGGCTCGATTCTTGGCCCATTCCTGTTCTTAATCTATATTAATGACTTACCTTATCTTGTAGGGGACAATCACGATATAGTATTATTTGCTGACGATACCTCTTTAATTTTCAAACTGAAACGGCAGTCAATTAAATATGACGATGTAAATAATGCTCTATCGAAACTAGTACATTGGTTTAACGCCAACAATTTGCTCTTAAACGGCAATAAGACAAAATGTATTAAATTTACAATACCTAATGTAAAACATTCGAAAACCAATGTGCTCTTAAATGGGGAGGAGTTGAGTCTTGTGGATACCACTGTTTTTCTCGGTATTACTATTGACGCGAAACTTCAATGGGGCCCCCATATATCTAAATTAGCAAGCAGACTTAGTTCTGCAGCATATGCTGTAAGAAAGATTAGAAGTCTCACAGATGTTGAGACAGCTAGGTTAGTGTATTTTAGTTACTTTCATAGCGTAATGTCTTATGGAATTTTGCTATGGGGTAATGCGACTGATATTGAAGCTATATTTGTTTTGCAAAAGAGAGCCGTACGGGCGATTTATAATCTAAATTGTAAAGAGTCCCTTAGAGAAAAATTTAAAGAAATAAACATATTAACTTTGGCATCGCAATATATTTATGAAAATGTAATGTATGTACATAAAAACATAAATAGCTTTAATAAGAATAAGGATGTTCATACCTTAAACACTAGGAACAAACATAAGCTTGTAATGCCACTTACAAGACTCCACAGAATTAGTAATTCATTTATGGGGCAATGTATACGCTTTTACAACAGAATCCCAGAACATGTTCAAAGTTTGTCAATAAACAAGTTTAAAAGTTTTATTAAAGAAAAACTGTACAAAAAGGGTTATTATAATATCAAGGAATACATGAGTGAAAATAACCCCTGGGAATAAGGTGATCGCCACCATGCTGGTTCTATGAAAATTCATTTAAAATTGTATAATCAAAATTATTGTTAAGTGAAATTATGTTTAAAAAAAAAGTCCCGCTGGGTTTCTTGCTGGTTCTTCCCAGGACAGGAGGTATTTTCCGAACCAGTGGTAAATAAAATAATGACTTTCAATAAGTATTATGTAATAATCCATATTGAATAAAAATCATTCTATTCTATTCTATTCTATTCTATTCTTATTTGCCTTTGGAATCACCCGAATTGTCGCTCTTTTCCAAACTTTAGGGAAGTGTCCAAGTAGAAGACATTTAGTGTATATGGCTAGTAGGATTTGTGGAGCCGCCTTGTAGGCTCTAAAGCATATGTCGGATGTAAGGCCGTCTTCCCCAGGCGATTTTTTCGGACTCATGTTTTTAAATATTTCTTCAATTTCAGTGTTGGTGAAAGGGATTATTACATCTTTATTCTGGTTGTTGGCCCACTCTTTCCTATTGTTTTCTGACTTGATTCTAATTTCTGTGTGTATTTGATCGTCTGATTTGATGTCATCATTTGGGTATCTGATAAGAGCTGTGCAGATTCTTTTGGGGTCATGATCTCACTAGTTGCTGTTTCCCGTAATAATGTGTCTTCAGGAGTTTTGTAAGATTTACGTATTACCCTATAAATACTTTGCCACATACTCTCCCGATCTTGCCTAGTACAAAATTCCTTCCAGCTCGATGTTATTGCTTCTTCAAGGAGATTCTTGTATTCTACTTTGGTTTGAAGATATTCCTCAATTACTGTCTGTTTCCTGTTTTTGTTAGCAAATTTAATTTTTCTTCTTTTTCGAATAAGTTCTTTTTTAAATAAAACTAATTTTAAGGATTTTATCGCGTATATTAACTTATTTTTATATATTCCCGACGTTTCGGGTGCTTTCCAGCACCCGTGGTCACGAGGGACTGAGTTGTTTGACGTCCTGCTGTCATAGTTAGCCCGGCTACCTTCAGTTTTTTAATATTAATTTTTGGTTCGATTTACGCAGAATGAGCTTACAGTATCTTGAAGTCTAGCAGTGATATACTTGGGTTTGGATTTGATTTTACTGATTATGGGATCCCAAGCAGATGGCAGCACCAATCCATCTTCTCTATTGAAATTAGGATGTTTTTTAATTTCAATAGCCTCGCGAATCATCCTTGGGAGGAATCGGTGTTCTTTTGCGAGGATTTGTGGTCTATCAAATCTAATGTAATGGCGGGGACGATCTTGAGTTCAGTCACTATTCACATGCCTACCTATTGAAGACTGCATCTCAATTGTTACTAGAAAGCTAGAAGATAACAACATGCCTACAGAATATGCAGTATTACTCAAACACTGCCTCACATCTGGCTATTTATTGTGGAAAGAAGAGTTCTACATGCAAGTAGACGGAGTGGCAATGGGCTCACCTGTATCTCCCGTAGTCGCCGACATATTCATGGAGGACTTTGAGGAGAAAGCCCTTCTTACTGCTCCTGTAAATCCAAGATTCTACAAGCGGTACGTAGACGATACTTTCACAATTTTACCATCTGACAAAGTAACTGCATTTTTAAACCACCTTAATTCCATAAACCCTAAAATACAATTCACAATGGAGTTAGAGGCAAACAATACTTTAGCTTTTCTAGATGTTTTAGTCATCCGAAATCCTCATAACACTATTGGTCATAATGTGTACAGAAAAAATACCCATACCAACCGATATTTAAATGGTGAATCTCACCATCATCCTTCACAGTTAGCTACCGTGGGAAAATCTTTGTTTCAGAGAGCACGAGGGATCTGTGACAGAAAACATCTGGCCGCCGAGCTTCAGCACGTCGAGCAAGTACTGCAAGACAACAAGCTTCGGGTCCCGCGCCTACGTCACAGTGACCGAGTGAAGCCAGCCACAGTCGAGCGTGTGCCTGCTGTACTACCCTATGTCAGAGGAGTCACAGACAAGGTTGGCTACATCTTGAAGCGAGCTTCCATTAAAACGTACTTCAAGCCGCTGAAGAAGATTAGTCAATTTTTACCATCCGTCAAGTGTCAAATCCCTCTACAAGATGCAGGAGTGTACAAGCTGGATTGTGAATGTGGTCTCTCGTACATAGGACAAACAAAAAGATCAATTAAAACCCGCGTTAAAGAACATATAGCTGACGTGAGGCACCGACGTATCGGGAAGTCTGCAGTTTGTGAACATGTTCAAGATCGTCCCCGCCATTACATTAGATTTGATAGACCACAAATCCTCGCAAAAGAACACCGATTCCTCCCAAGGATGATTCGCGAGACTATTGAAATTAAAAAACATCCTAATTTCAATAGAGAAGATGGATGGGTGCTGCCATCTGCTTGGGATCCCATAATCAGTAAAATCAAATCCAAACCCAAGTATACCACTGCTAGACTTCAAGATACTGTAAGCTCATTCTGCGTAAATCGAACCAAAAATCAATATTAAAAAACTGAAGGTAGCCGGGCTAACTATGACAGCAGGACGTCAAACAACTCAGTCCTCCGTGACCACGGGTGCTGGAAAGCACCCGAAACGTCGGGAATATATAAAAATAAGTTAATATACGCGATAAAATCCGTAAAATTAGTTTTATTTAAAAATGTGTAGTGTTCGCGTAAATATAAGAAATCATTATGAATAAGTTCTTTTTTCTTTTCGTCTAATTCCTTTGTCCACCATGGTGTCTTTGTCGGTATTCTCTGAGATAACTTTGGAATTGTTATATCGCAAGATTTTCGTAGACATTCAACGTACTGTATGACCAAGTCTTCTAAGGCCCATGTCGTTTCTATATTCATAGTTGCTTCTTCAGTGATATTGACTGTAGTTCTGTTTGTAACGTGACAGTGAATCTGTTCCAATCCGCTTTGCTGGTGTTAAAGATGCGGGTAGATATTCGCTGGTTAGGTTGCCTTGTTGAATTCTCAGGTTCTATGTCATACATTATCGCTCTATGGTCCGACAGAGTGACAAAGTCAGGATTAACCCTCCAGTTTATTATTTTGTGGAATAGGCTGTTAGAGCATGCTGTTATGTCCACAATAATAATAATAATAATAATAATCATCTTTATTCAGGCAAATTACACCCATATCCAGTAAAATCAATAAATTTAAAATCAGTCTCCTAAATTTTAGCAATAATTAAATCAATTTCAATACAAAATAACAATTTTAAAATAATAAATCCAGTCAATGTAAATAGGCAGTAATGTCAGTATATAAATAAAATAATGAAATAAAATAACATAAAATTAAAATTAATAAATAAATAACAGAATTACACACATTTATCAGTCTGGAGACGAGATCAATAATTAAAACTTTCTCTGAGGCAACTGTGCTGCAATAAATTAAATTAAAATTAATCTACACAATTAAAGCAATACAATACATAAATAAATGTCAACAAGATAACAATTTTAAAATAATACATCCAGTCAATTTCAATAAACAATACTCGTGTAGTCTTTGTCTCCTCTGTGTGCCCAAAATGTTGGTGTATTTCCTGTGTTAAGTATGTTTATCCCCAGTTGGGCTAAAGTCTCAGCGACGACCGTTCCTCGTCCATCCTCCACGCTACAACCCCACCAAGGACTTTTTGCGTTTACATCCCCTCCAAATATGATATGATCGTTTCCCAGTATGTCAATGGATTTTGATATCTTTCTTAAATCTTCGTCGATGTTTTGGCCTTCTTCCATATATGCGTTCACAATACTTGTTCGCGCCAAACACTTTCAAGGAACGAACGCGAGAGGGCGTGCGGCTCAGTGTCATACCGGTTTGACATTCGGTCGTGCGTAAAACGCCCAAGGGCAGTCGTCCATAAGCGGTGCTAACGATTGGCACGCTGTATTCTGTTAGGGAACTCGGAATAATTCGGCGCGGCCAGTAAATATACGGTCTATCATTGTGACGCGCATTCCTGCTGGAGAGCTTCCCAGGGACTCATTGTGTTTGACTCAGAATCTGCATAAGTGCATTAGGCAATATTAGCTAGTGCGGCCTCTAATATTCTAGAATAACTGTTGCAACGCGAAACGGTAGTGACCTTAATAAACTGAAAAGCATGGCAGAGTGGTCGATTCACGTGGCTGTGGTCGCCGAACCGTACTTCATTCCCGCCCGTGACAACTGGTTGGGATGCGCTGACGGTTTGGTGGCCATTATTGGCGAGACTCTGATCGACCCGTCTCAATAACAATACTAATATCTAGATTATTAATTTTAAAATGACATGCGACAATGTTTTCGGTAATCGTTTCAGGGTTTATAGTATATTGTATGGAAGGATCAACGACAATGACAGCTGACTTGACTGGTTTTTGTGTATCTGTAGTATGTTACGGCCTACGGCTGCTCCCTTAAAGGATCCAATCCTCTGGGGCCCATGAGCAGAAGACTTCCCGAGCAAACGTAGGTCGGGCCTCAATGTGGCCACGTGGAGTCTCTCGAATTACACTAAAATATATGGGGGAGCGTTCTATACTACGGCCAGTCGACCGGCAGAGGAATTAGGCGGAGTTTACTTACCTATATCCAAGGCGACTGGTCCCTCCGGAGTCGGTCAAATCACATGTGGTTGTGTAGTGAAAGGGAAATAAGTGATGTGATGTGCGTCTGGGTGTCACTGATGGTGATTGAACCTAGACCTTGGCCGTCGGCAGCAGCCCGAGCGTCGACACCGCTCCAACTTGAGGGGGCTTCCGAGGTTGTCCACCGTCACTTTCTTCTTTCGTCACGTTGACAGTCAATTAACTCTATCGTACGATTAACTAACTTACAAAAGCCACTAACTATCGCGGGGTATAAGGTTACCGCACAAAACACGCACGGAGTTTCTGGATCAAAGGTCACTACCGTTTCGCGTTGCAACAGTTAGTTCTAGAATACAGAGGCCGCACTAGCTAATATTGTCGAATGCACTTATACAGATTCTGAGTCGGACCCAATAAGTCCCGGGGAAGCTCTCCAGTAGGGATACGCGCCACAAAATTCTTAGACCGTATTTTTACTGTCCGCGCTTAATTATTCCGAGTTCCCGCGCTTAATTGGCAGCGTGCCAATTGTTAGCACATCTGGCAGACGACTGACTTTTCACTCGCGACCCGCGCGCCACTGCCACGCTCGGAAGAACTTCAAACCGGTATCGCCCAGAGCCGCGCGCCCCCTAGACGTCGATTCCGACAACAGCGTTTTGCGCGAACATAGTATATTTTTGTATAACTGCATGGCGGCTGGTAGTGTGTGCTTTTGCTCCTACATAGGGTTCTTGTATTAGGAGAATAGCCACTTAGGTTAGGTTAGGTTAGGTTAGGTTCAGCGGGGCCCGGATAGCTGTCGAGTCCACCATGAAGTATCTGGGATTTGTGCTCGACAGCCGATGGGAATTCGGACCCCACTTCCGGCGGCTGGCGCCCAAGCTGATGGGTGCAGCGGGTGCGCTATCAACGTTGCTTCCCAACTTGGGGGGGCCCGAGCGCCGCCAGTAGGCGGTTGTACGTGGGAATCGTGCGGTCCATGGCCCTGTGTGGGGCGCCTGCCAGCAAGAAAAAGAAAAAGGAAAAGTAGAGGAGCACTAAGCCTGCCGGGTTAACCTCGCTGCCCTCGCAGGCTAGCAGCTCCGCGGCCGACTCCCGGCCCAGGACCGTTGCCGAGGGGATGGAATGTCAATAATGGCACAATTCCATTCTCTCCATTTTCTCCAGGGCAACATCAACCACTGTGCCAGAGCTCAGGATCTCCTACTCCAGAGCATGGCAGAGTGGTCGATTCACGTGGCTGTGGTCGCCGAACCGTACTTCATTCCCGCCCGTGACAACTGGTTGGGATGCGCTGACGGTTTGGTGGCCATTATTGGCGAGACTCTGATCGACCCGTCTCGGGGCCGCGGCTGGGTTGCTGCGGTCTCGGGCGGCATCGTTATTGTAGGGGCGTATTTCTCCCCCAACAAGAATCTCGCCGACTTTGAGGGTTTCCTTGTCGAGTTGGGCGCCGTCGTAGGCCGCTATCACCCTCGTCCCGTTCTGGTGCTCGGGGATCTCAACGCCAAGTCATCGGCGTGGGGATCTCCGGTCACTGACCCTCGGGGCGAGGTGTTAGAAGAGTGGACGGTGACGACTGGTCTGGTCGTCCTGAATCGGGGTTCGGAATACACGTGCGTGCGGCAGCGGGGTGGGTCGATAGTGGACGTCTCGTTTGCTAGCCCCTCTGTCGCCAGCCGAGTCCGCGACTGGCGTGTCGCCGCAGAGGTGGAGACGCTGTCGGACCATCGGTATATCCGGTTCGACGTCTCTGCCCAGACTGCGAGCGGCCGCCATCCAACAACCCCGATTAACGACGGCCCGCGTTGGGCGCTTAAGCGCATCGACAGGGAACTACTCGAAGAAGCTTCCCTAGTCCAGTCCTGGATACGGGAGTCGACAACGGACGGCCCCGTCGACGTCGAAGCGGTGGCGCTATGGTTTCGCGGGGCGTTGACGCAGATCTGCGACGCGTCCATGCCCCGTGTCCACCAACGGTCCGCAAGGCGCCAGGTGTACTGGTGGACCGCCGAGATCGCGCAATTGCGCATAGCGTGCGTTACGGCTCGTCGCCGGTACACCCGATACCGGAGGCGGCGTCGACGGGATCCCGCCGAGGAGGACGCGCTGTATGAGGTGTACCGCGCGTCTAAGGAGACTCTGTGGCTGGCCATCGGCGACTCAAAGTCGCGTGCCAGGGAAGAGCTGCTGGGATCCCTAGATCGGGATCCGTGGGGGCGCCCCTACCGTTGGGTACGGGGCAAGTTGCGTCCCTGGGCGCCTCCACTAACACAAACGATGCAACCCCAGTTGCTAGAGGCGGTGGTATCGGCTCTCTTCCCTGAGCGAGTGGGACACGTTTCCCCGGCGATGGCTTCGCCCTCAGCCACAGACTCTCCAGAAGAGGAGAGCACCGACGTCCCCGAGGTGACGCAAACAGAGACGAGAGCGGCCGTGTCGCGACTCCGGGCTAAGAACACAGCGCCCGGACCCGACGGAGTTCCTGGTCGAGCTCTCGTCCTGACTCTGAAGGAGCTAGAGCCCCAGCTGAGAGGGCTCTTCACGGCATGTCTCGAGCAGGGTCAGTTTCCCAGTGTGTGGAAGGAGTGTGGTCCCAATGTGGGGAGGCTGGTCCTGCTCAGGAAGGAGGGGCGCCCCGCGGACTCACCGTCCGCGTACCGGCCCATAGTGCTGCTCGACGAGGCGGGCAAACTTCTTGAGCGCATCATCGCAGATCGCCTCGTCAGCCACTTGTGCAGAGAGGGGCCGGACCTGGACGAGAACCAGTTTGGTTTTCGCCGCGGGCGCCCCACCATAGATGCTATTACGCGCGTGAGGGCCCTGGCGGAGGAGACAGTATCCCGGGGTGGGGTGGTGCTGGCGGTGTCCTTAGACATCTCCAACGCCTTCAACACCCTACCCTGGAGTTGTATTCGGGAGGCGCTGAATTACCATCGCGTGCCTCCCTACCTCCGCCGCACAATAGGGGCTTACCTTGAGGAGAGATGCGTTACCTATTGGGGACGTGACGGCGCTGGTCGGTGCGTCATGTCGTGCGGTGTTCCGCAGGGATCGGTCTTGGGACCGCTCCTGTGGAACATCGGCTACGACTGGGTGCTGAGAGGTGAACTCCCGTCGGGCGCCGACTTGACGTGTTATGCGGACGACACGCTAGTCACTGCCCGGGGGAGTTCGCACAGGGAAGCAGCGTTGGTTGCCACGGCTGCGGTGTCACAAGTGGTGAACCGCATCCGGCGCCTGGGCCTGGAGGTGGCCCTAAATAAGTCGGAGGCCATGGTGTTCCATGGCCCTCGACGCGCGCCGGCGCCGGGTTCACATATCGTGGTCAGCGGGGCCCGGATAGCTGTCGAGTCCACCATGAAGTATCTGGGATTGGTGCTCGACAGCTGATGGGAATTCGGACCCCACTTCCGGCGGCTGGCGCCCAAGCTGATGGGTGCAGCGGGCGCGCTATCAACGTTGCTTCCCAACTTGGGGGGCCCGAGCGCCGCCTGTAGGCGTGTCCGTGCCCTGCGTCGTGCCCTGCCCTGAATCGTGCGGTCCATGGCCCTGTATGGGGCCCCTGTGTGGGCGATGGACATGACGGCCAGCACTCTCGCCATTCTGCGTAAACCGCAGAGGGCGATGGCCGTCAGAATCGCCCGCGGGTATCGCACGATTTCCTACGAGGCGGCTTGCGTCCTGGCCGGATCCCCGCCCTGGGACCTAGAGGCGAAAGTACTCGCGTTATTATATCGATGGCGCGAGGAAGAGCGGGCACGGGGCTCGAGGCCGGTGCAGCGGCAGATCGCGCTGCGTCGAGAGGAGCTCCGTCAGGTCTTGGTGGCGGAATGGCGGCAAAGGCTTCTGCGCCCTACCGCCGGCCTCGCTACCGTCGAGGCGATCCGGCCAGTACTCGACGACTGGCTCGGGAGAAGGCACGGCTCCCTGTCGTTTAGGGTGACGCAGGTGCTGTCGGGGCATGGCTGCTTCGGCAAGTACCTGCGCCGCATAGACAGGGAGCCGGACGCTCGGTGCCACCACTGCGTCCATTGCGGGGAGGACACGGCGCAACACACGCTCGCCGAGTGTGTAGCTTGGGAGGAGCAGCGCCGTGTCCTCACAAATAAAGTAGGAGGCGATCTGTCGCTGCCGGCCTTAGTGCGGAAGATGGTCGGTAGCGCAGAGTCGTGGGATGCAGTGGTGTCCTTCTGCGAGGACGTGATGTCGCAGAAGGAAACTGCGGAACGGGAAAGGGAGATCTCGACTCCTTTTCCTGGCCGCAGAAGGCGCACCGGGCGCAGGAGAAGGGCGGACAACGCCCTTTTCCGGCCCCCATAAATGGGTCCAGGGGCGAGGGACTTGGGGAAGCCCCCGCCACCCCTACTCGATGGACCCGAGGCGGAGGCGCGCGCGGGTGTCGGTGCGCGCCCCTGAGGCGATACACGGGGTAGTTTAACACCTCACTACCCCGTGCAGGAGACGAGGCCTGGACGGACCGGGCCAGCACTAGTGTGGGGCTGCGGAAGAATTTGGAATCCCGCGGCCCCACGCGCACGTGTGAGGAGACACCGGGGTGGTTTTAGCCGGTAAGAGTCCGGCACGCCCCTCCGCCTTTCCCCAGGCGGAGGTAGTCCATGAGGATTTCCCCCCGTAAAAAAAAAAAGGTTAGGTTAGGTTAGGTTAGGTTCCCGTGTGGAGTTGCCAGAGCTCCCATCGGGCGCGTCCCCAGGTGGCGGATTGGGGAACGCCACCCAGATATGGGTGGTAGCGGGAAACCGCCGCGGACCAAAACTGGCCGGGGTTGGGCGAACCCGTGTTCCTTTCGGACCAGAAACGCCCGGGGCCTAACGCCCTAAGAGATGGGCCTTACAGGCTTGTTATTGCTCCCTGTATCGCTCTTTGATTAGAGTGGACATGGGATGCAACATACGCGGCGATGTGCCAAGCGCACCAATGCTGGGTGACCCCGCGCGGTAATGTGCCAAGCGCACCGATTCCGGGCGATCTCTGTGCGGCGATGTGCCAAGCGCACCAATGCCGGACAACCCGTAAACCCGTAACCCGGGCCCGGGGGCCCTCGCAGGGCCGCGAGGAAGAAAACCTCTTCAAAAATAACCCTAATCCTAAGGTCTAAGGTGCCGAGGGGATGAAAGGCTGGGGGGGGAGCCCAGTCCCAAGCCTTGGGGGGAAGGGGTTCAGGGACCACACCCTGTATAAAAGGAAATAAAAACATGCAGTGCTACAAAAAAATACTCCCCAGGGTGGTCCTGCCAACCCTAGTGTTGGCGGGGAATCCACCCCCAGTAGCTCAAATAGGCTCTGTGGCAGCCCCAACGTATCTGTGGGGGGGGGGGGGGGGGGGCAATCCACTGCACTGCGGTGATGCACCAGCGTTAACCGCTTGCCCCATAACATCAGAGGGCCAAGTTCAAAAAGAAGGAGCCGTGTCGGAAATACCAATAATATCGACGCGAGACAAGCGTGGGCGTCTTAAGCGACCTAATAATACGAGCAGTCAGGCCGGTGAGAGCGATGCTGATGGGGGTTCAGATAGTTCGTTCGTGTCGCTTACATCTGTAGGAGGTCGAAAACGCAAAGCGAAGCCTCCGAGTACATCGGTTGTGGCGGCTAAATTTACGGCGGTCCCAGTTGCAGCCTCTGGAGGAGAAAGTGTAACAGGGGCTGAAACAGAAGAAGACCTGTTCGATCCTTCTGTAACGCCCACCAACACCAGGGCAAAGAAGAACCTTCCGGGCCTGGAAACACTAGCCCGCGAAATGCGTTCTCATGGAGACGTAGAGCTCGGTCAGCAAATTGACTTTCACCTCCAGGTTCTCGAAAAAGTTGCCGATCGATCCCGTAATCTAAAAGGTGAGTTTGTTCGTGGCATAAGGTTGGCTGTGCGAAATATCAAAGCTACGGCAGAGGAGCTCGCGCGAAGAACCGATCCTAACGAGAACGTCACTAGGCTAGAGAGAGAGAACGCAGAGTTGCGTTCCCAACTTGCCAGTCTATCGGCTAAGACGGAAAATCTTACGAAAGAAATTAATCTCCTACACAAGAAGATGCAGGAACGCTCTAATACCCAGGTGGCCACTTTGCCCACACAACAAGCACCTGCTGCCTCCAATTATAGGAGCGGTAAAGATGAACTGATGGCAGACATTGGGGCTCTCATTGACAGGAAACTGGCTGCCTTCCAGGCCAAGTTTATTCCTGAAAAGGCCCCAGCACACCAACCATTGACAACACGGGAACAGCTGCCACCGCCAATGAAAGAAAGACGCCCGCAGTCACAGCTACCACCACAACCGCGAAAGAATAAAAAATGAAGACTAAGGAAGAAAAAGGTGCCTACTCATTCGCCGGTGGTCGATTTGCCTCCAGTGGCTGCTCCGCCACAGCAGCACAACTCACCTTCACCGATGGTAAACTCATGGGCGGACGTAACAAGAAAGCCAATGCAAAAGCGGCCTAAAACAATGGCGGATACTCTCCCTCCTCTAAAAGGGAGTAAAAAGAAAAGAAAAAGCGTAATGCGTACCCCGGCATCAGCGGCAGTAACGGTGACGCTGCCTAGGGACTCGGCACTTACATATGCCAATGTAATGAGGGAAGCAAAGGCTAAGATCGGATTGGCAGAGTTGGGAATAGACTCCGTTCGCCAAAAGCGAGCTGTGACAGGGGGTTTACTACTCGAGATCACGGGACTCGACTGTAACCTAAAGGCGGATAAGCTGGCAGCGAAATTGCGCGAGGTCCTCTCCCATCTGAACGTACGAGTGAGTCGCCCAGTGAAAATGCGCGACGTCCGACTAAGGGACCTTGACGACGCTGTCAGCCCTAGTGAGATAGCAGCCACGATCGCTGAGCTAGGTGGTTGTTCGGTAGACGACATTAAAGTTGGAGACGTCCGCCGAACTCCCACTAGCATGGGGACGTGTTGGATGCGGTGCCCAGTAACAACGTTACGAAAAATAATGGCTGAAGGATGTGTACGCATAGGCTGGGGTTCCGCTCGAGTAGAACTGCTGGAACCCAGGCCTATGCACTGCTACAGATGCCTTGAGAAGGGACACGTAGGCAGTAAGTGTTCTAATGAGGCAGACAGGAGCACCCGCTGCTACTCCTGTGGTGAACCTGGTCATAGAGCGAACCAGTGCACTGCATCGGCACTAAAATGTCCCGTTTGCTCCGACCTCGGGCGCCCCTCCAACCATAGGTTGGGGAAAAAATGCGCTCAACCCGCAAAACGGGGAGTTAGGAAGAGTAAGCCCTCTCTCACCCCCTCCAGCGAGACGGTCACAGCAGCACCTGCTGCGGCACCGAGCTCCGACTCGGCAATGGAAGTTGCTTTGACGTAGAATTCACGCCCCTCAAAGTCCTCCAGGGTAACCTGAACCACTGCCGCAATGCACAACATCTGCTTATGCAGACCATTGTGGAGTGGCGGGTTGCCCTTGCAGTAGTAGCGGAACCCCATACCTCCGACGGCTCCGTAGCCATCTACTGGGGGGGTTGTGATGGTGCTCCACCTTGCGTCCTCCTGCAAAGGGGGCGGGGCTTTGTTGCAGTGCAATGGGGCACCCTGGCTATAGTGGGCTGCTATGTCTCTCCCAACAGGACCCTCGCCGACTACGAGGAGTACCTGGACGAGGTAGCGGATTGCGTGCGCGGGTGCTTACCCCGTTCGTCGATCGTCCTAGGAGATTTTAACGCCCATAACAAGGCTTGGGGCAACTCTAGGGACGATCCAAAGGGAGAGATCATAATGGAATGGGCGGCTGGTCTGGACCTTCGACTATTAAATCGGGGGTCTGAGAGTACATGTGTGCGGTGGCAGGGGGAGTCCATTGTAGACCTTACGTGGGCAACTCCTCCTGCAATGCGAAAGCTGTCGGGATGGCGAGTGGCGACAGAGGTGGTGACACTTTCAGACCACCGCCACATCGTGTTCGATGTCGCACTTCGCCACTTCGACAGTAACTCCAGTCGTCCAGAAGGCAGTCCACCGCGGCGTTGGTGTCTCAAGCGGCTTGACCGAGACAAGCTCGAAGCCGCCGCCATCGTCGCGGCCTGGCCAGAAAAAGCCGAAGAGGTTCCGCTCGATCCGGAAGTGGAAGCGAACTGGTTCCGAGCTACGATGGCGCAAATATGCGACGTCTCGATGCCCAGAGCCAGTCGTCCCAAGCGCAGGGCGGTGTACTGGTGGTGCGAGGCGCCGCTCTCCCTACCCTCCGCAGCCGAATCTTGGTTGGCGGCGGAGCTATAGACCAGATACGCCGCTGGGGTCAGGAAGGCTGGTGCTTCTGAGTGCTAGTGTTTCCTGGCCCCATGGGCTTCGCGCATCGGACACGGGGGCGTCCGTTGCGCATGTGAAATTGGAGGCCGAAGAAGAGGGCGCGCCA